GCTATTCCCTACTTTTGAAAATTACTCTAAACTACTTCTGGTAACATTGCATATAAACACTTGCAATACATTGCAACGTCAGTAGTGAGTACTCAAAGTCTGAAGAAGCCAAGATAGGTGAAACAATTGTTACTTTTTAAATAAAAAGTGTGCGAAAATCTTGAAGTTTATTTTTATTTAAAATAGTACATGTTCAATTAATCTCTCAATAAAAGTTTATATCAAGCTAAAAATAAATTTATTCCATGTGTATGAAGCACACCGTGTATTAATTAATCTTTACGGTCAAGCAGTTATACCCTTACGTAATATGAAATTTTTTTTATTTAATAAATGCATTTTACAATTTTTACGGTCGTATGAGAATATGGTTTTAAATAGTTCTATTTCGGTTTCATCAACAATATAACTAATATATAAATTACAGTTTATTAAAGCATTGCTTTTTTTTTGGTACAATTACACAATTAATTTTCAAGTGTGTTTTTCTATGTCTTTAAAAATTTTAAATGATNGTTTCGCATCTCTTGGCTTCTTCAGACTTTAAGTAGTTACTAGAATTAAGTCAAAGGTTTTCTGTTTGAGTATTTACTACTAACGTTACTATGTACATATTGTAGGCATTTTTTATGCAACGATACTAGGGGTAGTTTAGAATAAATATGAAAGTGGGGAATTATAACATTCTTTTTGGTAATAAATGGGTATGTTGCTATTCCCTACTTTTGAAAATTACTCTAAACTACTTCTGGTAACATTGCATATAAACACTTGCAATACATTGCAACGTCAGTAGTGAGTACTCAAAGTCTGAAGAAGCCAAGATAGGTGAAACAATTGTTACTTTTTAAATAAAAAGTGTGCGAAAATCTTGAAGTTTATTTTTATTTAAAATAGTACATGTTCAATTAATCTCTCAATAAAAGTTTATATCAAGCTAAAAATAAATTTATTCCATGTGTATGAAGCACACCGTGTATTAATTAATCTTTACGGTCAAGCAGTTATACCCTTACGTAATATGAAATTTTTTTTATTTAATAAATGCATTTTACAATTTTTACGGTCGTATGAGAATATGGTTTTAAATAGTTCTATTTCGGTTTCATCAACAATATAACTAATATATAAATTACAGTTTATTAAAGCATTGCTTTTTTTTTGGTACAATTACACAATTAATTTTCAAGTGTGTTTTTCTATGNATTTTACAATTTTTACGGTCGTATGAGAATATGGTTTTAAATAGTTCTATTTCGGTTTCATCAACAATATAACTAATATATAAATTACAGTTTATTAAAGCATTGCTTTTTTTTTGGTACAATTACACAATTAATTTTCAAGTGTGTTTTTCTATGTCTTTAAAAATTTTAAATGATCTAAAGTAAAAGCTCCTAGCTTAAAAATATTTTTTGAAAATCAGCTAAGCTAAAGGCGATATTATCATCTATATTTCTTTTAATAAATTCTAAACTGTAAATAACTAAATGATTTACATCTAAGAAATAAAAACTAAAATATTGTTTGTGCTAGTTTTCTAACTTGTTACTTCTTTGATGTTTCAGCTATCGCCGAGTCAATGTAAGTATTTTCAATTCTTAGCATGTATGAAATTTTTGGCAAGTATAGTAATGTCTAATGTAATTTTGAGTGATGGTAAGTGCAAAATATTAATTTTATTATTTTGCGGTAATTAACGCTCGTAGGTTAAGTGTTTCTTTTTAGAATTTTTTCAATCATAAAAGGCGAAACTGAACGAAGTATAAAAATTATTCAAACAAGTCTTTACATCATGCAAAGGTAAGTTTAAATAAGAATATTTCATTATAATACTAATCCTAATCTTAAAAATCGCATATTTGGTACTTTTTTGGATTTATTCTTTCAAAATGCAACCAAGTCACACTCAATTTCTTTAACGATTGGTATGTAGTAAACAGTATATAAAATAATGTTTCAACGTGTGATTTTTGCATATCTTCATGTTAATTAATTTTAAAAAATAACTCATATAATAAATATTAACGAATGTTGCATTGCGAGAAGCACTTATTGTAAATCATATAAAGCCCTTATAAAAAAAAATGGATACTAATTGAAACAGGGACTGATTTGGAGCTTTATTGACTATTCTCAATGCCGGATTAGCCACGTAGCAGGAGTTAGAAAATGCTACAGATCCCGCGCCTTGAGGCCCTCGTGCCCAAAAAAAATCTTTCAACTAATTGTAAGATAGATATGGAATACCAACTATTGTAGAAGTAAAAGTGATCTCTAGTAACACCATATGCATTATCCATATTATATTACATAACTTGTAAATTAACAACACCACAATACTTACAAAGGAATCTCCTAATATCATTTTTGAGATATTTTTTTATATAGGTAATTGGATCATATAGAATAGTTTTCTAATGATTAACAAAGAAAGTAATTATTTGATTTTTATAATTATAAGGCTATTGTTATCAGTTTCTTCCATATTCAATAATATTTTTAGAGATAAATTTATTTTTTTTTGGTTTGCGTACAATTTTTTTTACATAGTATTGTTTTTTCTCTCTAAGGTGTATAAAGACTAACGTTTCCTATTGACAGCAATAGGCAGGAGACTCTGGAACTTCATTTTTGTAAATTTTTAGCGAAAAATTAATTAAAATCTTCTTTCCTAAATGCTGAATCAGTGTTACGCATTTACTTGAATATTATTACGTTCCTATTCGACATTAATTAAGCGTTCCTAGAATGAATTAAGGAAGACGTTAGGGATATCACTTTAATGAATATGATTTAGAAATATTGATTTGATCAACGTTGTTGCTAAATTTGCGCACTTAGTAAATCCCAAAAATTCTTTTTTAAAAATATTTTGAACTCTAAATTTTAACAGCAACGGTCTCCTGTTCCAATTTGCTACAGACCCCGTGCTGGTTTAATCCGACACTGATAGTTTATATTAGTTACTTTTATGTAAAATGTAGTTTCCATTAAAATTTGAGTTGGACCATTCAAGGTACCACAATCAGTTTTTGTTTCAAGTTATATGTATTATGATTAAGATTGTTTTACTCTTTGAAATCAATTTTTTTGTTTTATATTGTTTCAGAGGCTATAGGTAGATGGCAAGATGGGATATTAAATTCTTACGTTATAAAGGTAGGGATGACTAAAAACAGAAGAAAGTAGCCCGATGGAATTGAAAGTTAAATGGCAAACACATAATCTGAGGTTGTAAATGCTCATTTGAGAAGGGTTGGTGAAATTTTGATATTTTACTTATATGTTTAGTTTATAGGGGTCACTATACTTGCTGAAATTTCATCTTTTTGTCTGTGCTTCAACAATAAAAATGTGGCGGTGCCGGTTTTATAGCAAGCATCTAAATCTCTTGGTTCTTGCTTCTCAAAAATATTTTATGTGCGTCTACTCTGCGTTTTTACCCGTGTGTGCTCTCAAAATTGCGCAAAATTCTTCTTAAACCGGCACTGGTGAATAGTGTAATGTTAGTGAAAAGAAGAAATAATGTAACTGTGACAAGTTAGGTACTAAGTGCATTCATGAAAACCATAATTGAAATAGTCGATTTCCAATTACATTTTCTTCTGTAATCTTTTCAGTTGAAAGAGTATTTGGACCAGACTATTACTATAGTAAGTGGTAATCGGTAATAAACATATACGAATAAATATAATGCGAACATTACATTTATTTTAAATTTACCATTGATGTTTCAGATTATCCGCTAAAAGTTCGGTTGTACTCAGCAATAAGAAGCATTTTAAGAAAGGTATAGTTACAAAGGTAATATTTTAAATTCAATTATATTTAATGTAAATAAATGTGTAGGCAGTACTCATGTATATTTATAGATATTCGGGTAAATTAAATATTATTTAATTTTCAGAAGTATTACAAACAACCAATAAAACAAAAAGGTTACGAACACAATTTACCTTTTGAGAAAACAGAAAAAAATTCATTGAGAAATTATTGCCTCTTTTTTCAGAGTAAAATGTAGTTTTTTTGTTTTCTTTTGTTAAATTCGAGCCCTAACAGATAGTTACACACTTAGCAGCTTACTTGTATCTTGTAATCAGTAAGTTCTTATAAAATTAATTATAAAATTCTAGACACAACATTTAATCATATACGAACATTTTTTATATTTTCGTTCTTAATTCATGACAAAGGGTATAATAGGTGCTACTTAGTATTTAGTTGCTAATATCTATGTGGAGTAATTTGTAATTGTTTGTTTCGTATGGTATATTGTAAATCCTGTAGTTAGCAGTAATTTTAGAAGTATTATAATAATATGATAGTAGTAGTTTTTTGTTAGTTTTTGCAGCACCAAATAGTGCTAGTTTTTTTATCTAAGTTTAGTTTTTAGGTAGTTTAATACTATAGCAGTTTAGCTAAAGAAAACATGCCCGAAGTCACAATTTTAAAAAGAATTTCCAAAAAAATTGTGCAGTTTTCACTTATAAAAAAAAATATTACAATATGTTAATATCTATAGCATTTTATTAAAATTTAGGTATACCTTTACAGTTAGTGTATTTCAATTCAGTTTAATGTTTAGTTACCTTATTTAATCTAAATTATATTAAGTATAACTGAGTGTCTAATTAATTCTTTATTTTGTGGTGTTTCGTGATTTCAGTTTATAAAATCCTAATTCGTTTGAATCACAAAAAAGATATTAAACAAAGGTTGTATTCATAAAAAAATGATTTAAAGAAGTTGCGACAGTATTGCAAATATAAATATACTCTTATTTAAAAATAATTTATGTAGATTAAACAATGAGTTCTGTTTACACATATTATTTTTTTATATTTTTTTTCCGATGTTTACACCGATCCCTAATAATTCTGTAAATTTCAATATATTATGTATTATTCCTTTGTAAGGTAATAACCACGTTGTGCCTGATTCTTCGTGGCTTGGACTCCACGTGAAAATAGTCCAACATTTTTCCCGTGAGGGGAGCCTGAAACCCCCATCGGGCGCGTCCCCAGGTGGCGGATAGGGGAACGCTGGATATAGATGCCACAAACATCCGATCTTGTACATTCTTCTTCTAAATTAATTATTGGTGCTTGTTTTAAGTCAATAAATTGGGTTTGCTAGGGATGCTTTCTTTTTTTAATATTTTACAAAAATTTCTGGATAGTCAAAAAGGAATTTGTTAAAAGGATGTTAGTAGGCATGCCAGTCTAGAGGATAATTACCTCTCGCGGACCAACAGGCATTTTTTTAAAGAAAATTAACAATTTCGTTAGCATATTTTTTGTAGGTATTTAATAAGCTCAATAAATCAAGTTTGTGACAATTAATAGGAATATACTTACTTATAGTCTTTAATGTTGCATATAATAAAAGTAGTTTTTGAATTTACTGTTTTATAAAGTGTAATTAACAAAATACAAATAATAATGATGAATCTAGAATATACATACATACGTTGAGACCAAATGTAAAATGTGTACTTTTCTACTATTTAATAGGTCTTTTTTTAAATGTTTTGATTAATGTCTTAGAAATTTTTCATGTGGTTTTAAGGTAAATTTGGTTCAATATTTTATATAAATAGTTTAAAATATTAATACTATTGTTTTAAGTGTACTTTCAACGTATGTAAATGAAAGAGAGAAAGAAGAAAACTTATTTACGTTAATTTGAAAAATCTGGAGGTTGGAGATCACTTTTATAAGACAAAATAGAAAAAACTCAATTCATTTCATTCCTGAAACAATCCTTTTAGAGCAAAACTGGTAAGTGGATGATGTTCTCTTTAAAATAGTCAGGCTGGACTTATTTTTAAAAAGATTTAAAGAGGTTCATTAAACATCGTAATTTCTTTTGCAATTACAATATTTTTGTTCATATTGATTGTATTTAATAGCATTGTAAAATCAATAAATACTTTATGTCAAACTTTTACGACTGATTTATTTGTAATATATTTTTAATGTGCTTTTAGTAAATTATTTACTATATTTCTTTATTTTCTTTGAAGTATATTTTTCTTCTTAACTGGATATGTAAATTTCATGAATATTTCGCATTATACAATTAAAATAGTAAGTTTCGTAAAACTTTTGACTTTATAGTAAATCAATGGATATGAAACATTAAGATTTTTATAATGTCAATAAATGTTCATTTTCGTATGTGATTGAAGTCTAAAAAATCTGAAAATTATTTATGAAAAATATTTTGGAATTATGGATCCTAAATTAACTTATTAAATGTTAGTTGCAATAATACGCAAGTCAAATTGTTTTATTAAAAATATTTATTACTTATATAACGACCTTACTTATAAACAAAAGTACACACAACAATTTTGAAGAGTCTTGTAAAATTACAGCGGCATAAATAAGGTTTAATGTTCTTTTTTTAACTATGTACAAAGTCTTTGAAAACCCTAACAATTCAAATTGGTTTATGTTTACTTTTTAAGATTAAAACCGTCCCCGGTTGGGTCTAATAGCCATGGGTAGTTGTTGGGGCATTCCATACACGTGAACAATCGTAGGGTTTCTCCGGGCAATTCTCTGGTATTCAAGGCGCAGGCGTTTGGTAGTGAACAGTAAGGTTGTCCCTTGATATCACATTTTTCCTTCCATTCCTGGAAATCTCTTAATCCTGACAAATCTGTTGGTGTTTGCATCCACTGGATAACTTGTAACATCGTTACGAAGTAAACGTCATTTCTGCCAAGCATTTCTTCAATGAATTTGATGAGTTCCTCTTTGAATTCCTTTTTGCTCTTCAACCAGGAGGCGTGGAAGTGGAGACCAAGTGGAGCACGGTTGCTGTTGAAGTGACGATTGAAGTTGTGTCTCAAGAGACGGGCGAATTGTTCTCCAGTTTGGATGTTAGAACAGGAGTCTACCATGTGACAACCGGGAAGAGATTCGTCGAATGTTGGATCATCACGCCTGTCAAGTTCGTTCATTACCATTTCCCAGACGGGGTGGCTTCTGCTGGGACAGTTGTGTGCGTTACCGTTACATTTGTGGGGCATTCTGAAGTACAAAGTGTAAGGCCAGATTGGTACACGACTGAGAGATGCAGTGATGGATGCGTCATATACAAAGAATTGATCGCTCATCATTTCGAATTGTTTGTTTCCACCAACTCGCAAATAGGGTGCTCGTATTCCAATAATAGATCCGTCGGTGATATTTGCGAATCTTTCGACGATAAGACGAGCGCCTGCCATTTCAGCTAACCAGTCATCGTATGATCCCTTGCTCCAGTAATTCGGATCGTCCTTGTGCGTTATTGAAAATACTCCGATTTCATGTCCTTTCCTGTGCAAATCTTGTATTGCTGAGTAGTTGGTGTATTTATGGGAGACGAAGAATGTACCGCGAATCTGACATCCGTTGGGGTTGGTACGGGCACCGTTGAAAATGTCTTCGTAGAGGTCAATGTTGTCAACGTTAACTGCTCCGTTGAATGTTAGTGTGATCATTTGAGGAACGTTGGAGGGCTCAAGTCCCCCTGGAATTCTCGTTCCGTCAGCTGAACAGAAACAGTCGGGAAGGACACATTGAGTTGGGTCGCAGTCGGGAGCGCGGTTAGGGTCTGTTTCAACAGCTGAAAAGAAATACTCATTTTAATAATTTCATGCAAGACAAACCTATCAGGTCATTCGACTCTGCCATTTTTGAATTTCAAATATGATAAAGTAAATAGGAAGTGAAATGCTACAATGTTAGTCAAAAGTTGGTCATCGCTTTTTTTATTTTTTTGTTTATGGATTTTATAAAATTTGTATCCGTTTTTCCCCTCATCGAAAAATAATTATCAATCTTCAGCCAGAAATTCTTATCTAAATGGCTATTCTTTGTCTAACACTGACTGACTTCCAAAAAAATGTTTGGAGCCATATCATTCAAAGAATGTACAATTTCGACAAATTAAACATAAAGTAAGCAAAATTTTGTAAAAGTTCTACCTGCTTTATACAATCCGTAAATAGTAGTCAAACAGTACCTATATGGAATGCTTTTTGCAAATATATATTAATTATTAATGTTTTCTTTCTGGAAATTGAAATTACAAAAAACTACAACTATTCGAAAGTTTTGTATTTTAATTAAAGGNATATATATTAATAGTTCACAACAATTGTTTCACCAAAACATTTTACTAAACGATCAAACTGATGTAAATGGTTCTCCTTTATTAAATTAAATTTTGCCTTCAAAAACTTAAATTCTAATCTTATCCCTCCCTTTCGTTGTTCCCACCCCATGAAATTTGTAAACTCTTAGTATTTAAGTTAATTTTTTTAACAATTTTAATTAGAATATCTTCACCTGAAGAAGTCAATGCTTTGGTGAAAAAATTGTTGTGAACTATTAATATATTTTTTGGGACTTTTCTTTAGTTTCCTTTAATTGATTATGGAGTTTCAACAAGTAAAACCTTCAACCATTAATTATTTTGCATTTTAGATGTTCAATAGTAAAATGTTTTCATTACTTCAAGTTTTTCAAGTAACTATGTACAAACCGTTTAATAGTTTGTATTTATTGACAGGGAAAATAAAGATGTAATAATCACACATTAGAATTTAAAAATAAATTCGGATTAATTAGTACTACACTAATTCAGAGCTAGTAGATTTGCAAAATGCATTTTATGGTTAATAAAAAAAGATCACAAGGCATACGAAAACTGTCTAGAAACGAAAAATGAGACCTTGGTGTCTGTGAGTGTTGTAATGTTTACATCACGAAGATGCTGTTACGTAGTATAGAGATGTAAGTTACAAGAGATGAAGTAGTACATGTTATGAGATTACTTACTGCAAGAGTTTTCGTCTGACTCATCCGTGCAATCAGGCTTGTCGTTACAAAACAGTTCTTTGTCAATACACTCTCCATTTCCACAGGCTAGTTTACCCTCTGAGCAAAGTGGTTCATCTGTTTTCAGTTTAGGCAGAGCTTTTCTCGGTTCTAGAATTTCACATGAAATTGTTAAGCTTTCAATTTCTTTAAAGAGCGTATTCAAACCAGGACATACAATTTTTTTTTAACTATCTACCCTTTGTACATTTTAGATTGGCGTTGCTCTATAACACTTCATATTTACATTTACCGTGGATATTTACATTTAACATTTCGACAACAAAATTTTAACGGTTCATAGAAAGTAGATTTTTAAAATAACGGAAGTACTGTATTAGCACAAATTATTAAGTTTGGAACACAAGTTGTTAGCTCGGTTCAGGAAAAAGATGCCAAAACATATAACAAAAACATTCAAGATTAAGATAATAGAAAAGAAACAAGCTGCTATTAGGTACACAGTAGTTAAAACTGATAGCCTCAAACATTTTAACATGTAAGCGATATAGTCCAGTGAAAGAAAATTCTTAAATCACCATAATTAACTAATGGTAACGGCTTTTATGAAGCACGTGTGTGCTTCAGCAAAATCTAATGAATTAGCGAATATTTAATTTAAAAAATTACAAAAATGCCAATAAATATTGCTTCTTCGTTGGCTTTTGAGTGGTTTTATTTTGATTTCTTTCAAAAAGTAACAAACTGGTATAAATTCAGTTTACAATTGCTTCTCCAGTTGTTTAAGTCTTTTTTTTTAAAGTCGATGTATATCAATTTATCAAAATTTTAGATATGATAATTTAAAAATGTGTTTGGCTGGACTAACACTTCAAACTAAATAGATACATAAACAGAGAAAAGAATAGATCATTTTAAGAAAATGTAGTACATGTTTCTTTAAAATTATGAATTGTAATAAATCAGAAGGTAACTGTAAGATTTATAATATTATAATAAAATCGTGTGTAGGAACTGAGTTATAAATAAACATATAATAAGTTCAATTAATCAAATGAATTTTCGATATTTTTGTGTAATTATTTTAGTTAAAGAGCATTGAGCATCCTGCGTACATATAAAGTTTTAATAGAAGTGCACTACTTCGATGTTTTGCAATCTTGTTAAGCACATTTTCCTTTTTATTTCGAAAGAAAAATGTGTGTAACAATTTGACAAAGAATTGAAAATATTTATTTTAAATTGTTTCGGTTTCAATTTTGCTACAAGATCCTTCAAATGTTGATTGTGTACAACTAACTAATTTTATAATATCTTGTTATATGGCAAGTGTATGTACAATAAAGGTGTGTGAGTTAAATAATATTAAAACAATGAAGTTGTTGTTAATAACAATAAGTATAAATTGCTGTGTCAGTTCACTAATTTAAGTTAGAAAATACATAGTGCAATCACAACTGGGCAACAAAAGTGTATTAGTTAAGCATGTTAGTTTCGTATGTTAGAAAAGTGACGAAAATAATAGCTGTTAATGTAAATAATAGAAGACAGTAGGATTTCCACCTTAACACATCTACTTTCTACATTTCGAACTACTTGAAATTTACAATTCCTATTCCCATCGCTATTTAGGCAGTATGTAACAATTTGTTTTTTTTTTTATTTTAACAAATAGCTATTTATACAGCTGTTTGTGCTCAAAAATGGCACACAGAATGACGCCAAAACCGCAATTTCTACAAAAATAAAGACCATTCTACATGACCGATTCCGTCACCGCACCGGCAAAGTGCGACTTACTCTCGAGCTTGTCACAGTTTGTGACTTTGGCTTTCCAATCGCAAGTCTGTTTATCGATGTCGAACGCCAATCCGCTTGGGCAAGTAATTTGTTTTAAGCCAGATTTAGTACACCTAATGATAAAAAATCGACTTAATTATAATAGTTTTGACCAAGAAACAGTGAAGACGAATTCGATGGCATATTACCGCCTTAAGACTAAAACACATATTAACTTATTGCTGGTTTCGCGTACTTATAATGGACCTAATATTGTCGAATAAATAAATTTTCTGGCAGAATTTTAAGTCTAAACTATTTTCTATAACGCAGTATTACTATTTGTTTTACAAAATATAATCGATTTAAACTATTTAAATTCCTGTTCTCAAAACTACCAGAAACAAATGAATTGAATGCATAAGAGTTACAAATTTACAATAATCCTTTCGTCAAGAATGCGTAATAAATAATAGTGTTTAGTAAAACAGTTGATAATACTTGTTTTACGAAGTATTTTAATTGATTAACATTTGTTAACGTAAATGTTTATAAATTTAAACACCCACGGTGAGGATGGCATCTTGATTAGAGTCTATAACATAGGACGATGCGGAATTTTGAGTTTTATTTAGTTCAGTTCCGCATTGTATTTTCTGTGATTTGTGTAATTGCTTTTATTATTTATAAAAGTGTTAGCCATCGGGCATCATCGATCACTGTCCCTTGTAAAGACTTACTCTCTATTTTATCACAGTTTTTCACATTTGTTTTCCAATCACATGTTTGACGATCGATGTCAAATGCAAGACCTATGGGGCAACGTACCGACGCCAATCGTGTGGCGCCATTATTGTCACTATTTTGATCACACCTAATAAATAACAAAATACCTGTCAGCAAACTGACATTACATTAAACTAATGTTAAAGTATCTATGCAAGTATGCAACATTGATAGATTAATAACTTTCACTTTGGAAAACAATATATTGTGTTTTTGTTAAAATTTGTACTGTGAATGTTTAATTGTACTATAGTAATTCGGAAAAAGGGTTGTAATGCATACGTCGATTTTTTGAAAACGGAAAACGAATCAGTTAAAATTCTCATTCCAGTTCTATTCTCGATAACATAAGGAAATTAACCATAAAAAATATATATATTTATAATCAGTAATAACAATTACTAAGGAGCATGTATTTAAAAGATAAAAAAGTAATTCAAAGCAAAAAACTTCCACAAATTTGTTTTCGTGTTTCACCACTACTTTGTGTCTTTTTCAGAAGTTATAAATTAACAAAGTGATGAATCATGTGTTATGTTTGAAAGTAATTTGTAAAAATTACTGTCATTAGGAATATTTTTTATCATACATGCAAATTAACTGAACATGAAGTCTTACTATCGAATGAATATTTATTAATTCTTGAACATACCTTGTATAGTAGTACAGTAGATATTCAACAGTATTGTATGTATGTAATTCCCTTTATGCAATTGCCTAGCCTTACGGGAAGTAACCGTACTGTTCCGTCCGTATATAATTAATAAGTACAAGAAACCGTTCCATTACTTCATACAGACAATTCATAACAATTCATTGTTTATAGAGTTACCTTTTGTAATGTAATTATTACTGTAGTGCTTCCATTAAAAAAATCCTCCAAATGAAGATGTTATGAACTGATGTTATACACATTTGATGTAAATATCACAAAAAATTTGTTGTTTTTGATCGAAAATGAGTTTCACTTAGTCGATTGTGGTCGTCCTTGGGAGGACCAATTTTTTTTCTAGGATTTTTAAAATGCTTGACCTTTTTAAATTCATTGGTTCTATGATTGATTTTTATTTGAAGAATGCTTCGATATTTCGAACAAAATCTGCAGATTTTTCTAATCAGTTTGCTTTTTGTATTGAATAATGAAATGAGTCAGTCTAATGTTATGAATGCTTTTATTGAATAGATTCAATGAATTGGAAAAAGAAACTTGGAAATGGGCATATATCTTAATTTAAATTAAGTAAATGCCTAATTTATGTTTCATATTTTGTATAAATACGCCGAATCAGAGATATCAATCATAGAATCTGTTAGATATGTATTATATAAATACTACGAAAACTACAGTCGATAAATTTTCGAATAAAAAAGTGTTTTTGACAGGAGCGAAAAGTGGGCCTAATATCCTATCACCTCGCAGACAATAACTTTTGTATGATCCCCACGTCTTTATATGTTTTCTTTCAAAAATCTTATTTTGATTCTTACCGGACTACATCTCTGCAATCTCCGTCTGTTGAAAGTCGAAAATATTCATCTGCGGGTCTATTTTCACAAAGTTCTTCTGCGCTCGGTCCTGTATCCGCTTCATCTTCTTGTGCATACACTATAAAATAAGGAGTGCATTAGTAAAGAAACAAAGAAACTCCATCATTGTTTCTTTTTTAGAAAAATCGTCGTTTTTGGAGAAACCGCATAGGTTGCTGTTACAGGTATACTTTCTGATTTCAGTTTCAATGCATGACAGTGCTCATCGTGAAGATCAACCGGGTTTAATTATATACGAGAAATCGAGGTCATCGAAAGTAAATACAGTAGAAACTGGTATCGTTTTTGGTTCTTCTTCTAAAGATGAACTTTATTACGATGCGCATAACAAGTAAAAGCGAGTAAAATTAAATACAATTTATATTGTAATATCCAATATTAGTTTGAATTAAAATAAAGTAAATCTACTGGGTAGATTTATTAAACTATTGTGTAACATTTCAATTTAGTTGTGCGTGTCACCTATCTATTGTTTATTGCCATTTAAAACTTTTGACATTAACTACAAATTGCCTCATAAACAAAAAATAATTGTATTGGTGATTATGACGTAACCTAAGCTAATGGTTCTGTGTGAGCCACGATGTTATAACATGATATTTGCAAGTTAACTTTTAATAAAATTAACTTTCTAATAAATCGTTCGACGGGTATGCAGTAGCTGTCTATTCGTGCTTATTAACGGGTGGTAAAAAATGTATTCTTTAAAGACAATAAAAACTGGGACCGTTTATTATTTGTGGCGCACCTTGTCGAGCCGTGCCCAACAATTTCACAATGGCAACATATTTTTCGAAATAGATCGCATAGTGATGGGCAACAAGATCTTTTATACAGGTATCACGAAGTTTACTGACATTTGGCGTAAATGTAAATCAAAGATCGAGAAACTAACAAAAGAATCCAAAATACCACCATTCAATGACGTCAGGAAAAGTGAAATGTTATTGGCGACTTAATAAAGGTGAACTTCCTGAACAAGCAGGTCTCGGTGACCTTATACACTTATATTTTTGTAATTGTTAATTAGCGTTTCTTGGTAAAAACTTTAACCAATAGAATGTAGCCGTTTCATGGAAATCGTTGCGCGAAAACAAGTCTATTGTGAAACTTTTATCGACCGACAGATATCTTAAACTTATTTTTCCTAGCACGAACCCGACAAAAAGATAGACACGAAAATTTTCAATTTTTATTGTTTAACGAAAATTTGCAATACGTTGCGGCACTAAATAAGACAAAATAATAAACAAAAACTCACCTAAGCCTACTAAAAGAAAGCAACATAGCCACAGATTTCTAGATGCCATGCTGATTCTTCGGACACTAGCCAAGAAGTGACGGCCGTTTCAGTTTATATTTATACCAAGAGTTTTTCAACTAGTGCGCATGTGTATCTTAGTGCTGTTTGAGCCAATGGTAATGGAATGGTTCGTGGGCACTTTCACCAAAGTGGTTTTCCCCGCTGTTTGATATCAGCTCGAACGATTACTTCTTATAAGGTAAATTGGCTCGTTTATGAAGAAATTCAAAATGCGGCTCGATATCGAACTGTAACTCTTGATGAGTGAGCCCTCTCTTTATCACTTGGACTGAACTTCTGTGTTATCCTCACCAAAGTATTTGAATCCCTCTCTACTAAAGGACGCTGAGAAGGAATCGAAGAATAGAAATATCCCGAATAGTTCATAGAAAATTTACAGTACGGTGTTTGCAGTTTATTAACCACGGTGTTGACTATATAGTATATACGTAGTTGTTTCAGAGTATTGAGATTTCTTCACGCACTTCATTTTATGCTTAGGTATATGGTCGAATAGGGTTGATTTTTTATGAAGACTAGTAACTAATGAATAAATTGACAACGATCTGTGTTAATTTGAAAAGCTTCTTGTTTGATTCTCCATTAGTTCAGTTTTTAAGAAAACTGTATCCAATTTTCTTCTTCGTTATATTTCTTTTCCTAGCTGCACATAAATTTGTATTAGAATGAAATTTTTTACTGTTGTACGACGAAGAACGCTGTTTATTTCAATTTACATATCTAATTTGTCTACCTACATTTGAGTGAAATGTTTCATATGATTTTCTTGTGATAAAAAACCATTTCTTTTGTTGATTTCACAAATAGAAAAAGCTGAATAGTATTTACGTTTACTTATTGAGAACTTTCTACATATGTTAACTGTTTTCATAACTAATGGTGTCGTAAAACGAAGTGATATTTGAAGAAATTTGTCTTGGAATAGCTGCTGTAAAACACGTTGAATTGGGCACAATTTTCTTACTCTGCTGAATTATCATTTGAGAAAAAAAATTTCAGTCTTGTTATTAATTTCCAGTTTTTGTACTAAATGTATGCAGAGTATTAATAATTTATCTTCATTTTATTAGTATATTAACTAATTTATTTTTCTAATAAGCCTTCCTTAAATTTATTAGGCGAGATTATACTTATTAATATAATATTATTAATTTATTAGTATATTAACTAATTCGTTTACATTCAATACCTACTTAATGTGTTTTCATAATTTTCGTGTTTAATTTGAATTGTTAAATAAACAAAAAGGGATTGAATATCTTGTTGCTTTGTACTTTTGTTAGGAATTTTAATACGTATGTTTTTGTTTTCATTTTTTCTTACGAATACTAGTCTGTTTTACAGATTATTTTGCTATATTTTTTATTTGAATATTGGAAATAATTTCTGTAGCAATGAAATTCAGAGACTTTCTAATTTTTAATGTCTTGCTGCTTTCTATTTAATGCTTGTCACAAATCTCATCAACTCTCATCATTCACTTATCAGGTGATGACGGTTTATATTTCTGATAAATTTTGATAAAATACTGTACAATAAAAGAGAAACTGCATGAACATTATTGAGAAACTGCTTTTGGACCAATGACGTTTTTTTCTATATTCTATAATTCATATCTATTGATTCACATTACAGCATGCAATACAAATAAACGGGGTAAGTTGCGCACTGAGTTTTCTGTTGGGATCTGTGAGGTCTTTAAAAAGTCGCAGTTTTATTCGATACTGTGTATTATTATTATTTCCCGGTCTTCTCAGTTTTCACTGGTTAACTTTGAGCAAGTGAAGATGGGCTAATGCCAAAGAACCTCACTCAAATCTTTTGGGATACAATATGGAAACCAATTTTCTGTTCTTAAATTTTATAGAGGTAACAGTATTCTTGCCCTGTAATATGATCGGTGATTATTAAAAACTCCGCTTCTAATTTAATCTGTTATGTTATCTGGAAAAGGGGGATATGTCTAAATTCTTGTTTTATGTTTTTCCTTTTAGACAGTCTTGTTATTCCGATGTATCACTCGTATTTGGTTAGATAATCTTTGTTGATCTATAAAAATAAGTTCAGGATAAATGAAATCAGTGAATTTTCTATGCAAAAGTGGTCTATAGCCCGTTGTATTATTATTGCACATGAGTGATGTATATTAATGCCGAACATATTTATTTTAGTATAAGACGAATTTAAGTTCTTGGGTAGTTATTTTAAGGTAGAATTTTATAGAAGGAAAAACAATTCCCAATGCTAGACATACATATTTTAATATGTGAAAAATTCCAGCAGAAGTTGAATTTGAATCGGGGCATCAAACTTATAATGCAATTGGTGTATTGATGCTATTAATGGGTTAATAGTTAAAATACAGGAGGAAAGCAATAAGGACATCTAAAAGTCTTAACTTTGCAAAAATATGCGGAAAAATGTGGTGGACCAAGCAAGGATAATAGAATGTGAAAACAGAAAAGTAAGGGATGTGGAATGTGTGATGGTTTTGATAAGAAAACTATCAATTGTTTGAGAGAAAATATTGTTATCTTTTATACACTATAAAAGATTGGTTTGGTATTTAGAAGGAAACTCTTGGGAAGAAATAAAGAAATTCTTTTCAATGTATTCATCACAAATACCTGTTGGGTGCAATGCGGTAGCTAGCATGTACTATAGTACATACAACATACATGTTGATGAGAAAAATAACCTTGAACGGAAGTTACAATTCTGTGACCGTGGTTACATTCTAAATGACACGCCTCGCTTTGTCTTTGACTTTACTAAAATAACTATATGATAGTATAAGTAGGTACATGCATAAGTCGGATCTAAGACACAAGTCTGAACGTAAACAGTAGGTACCAAGTTGTATGCTGTTGCGTTTTGACATAAAGGAAAATTCAATTAATCAGTTTAGTATAACCATGAAACACTTCTTCGAAATTTCGAAGGTTCCTTTTTAAATACATGTTTCTTAAGATACAAGAAGGTTATTAGGCACCGCGATGTATTTTATTTCGGAACGAAAATGCAACTTTATTATAGGTATATTTTCTTATAGTACTTACAATTACAGTGGAATTCGTTTATTATGACTCCGCCTATATTGACCAACTGGTTAGTATTAAGTAACAGTGGTGTTTAGTTTGATTTTCATATTAAATTCTCTATAGGAAAGTTTGGATATAATAATTCCGTTTAAAATGACATATCGTTTATTATGACTGATTCTCAAGAAATCATATCGGGCTATAGTGACCCAAATGATTAATAATAACATTTTCGCTCATTTTTCTGACCCTTCTTATGTATATTGATATTAAAATTCATCGTTTTTTTTCCTTTTCTGTTAATGAATATATACAATTTTTAGTTTTTCTCTCTATTAAACTAAATAACTAACCAAAATAGAAAGTTGTTTATTTTCTAAGACTATGCTTTGTATGACTCCCGTTTAGTATGACGTGTTTGTCATTTCCCTTCGATGTAATTATAAGCGGATTCTACTATAGTTATAATGGAAGTAACAGATTACACTTTGAGACATTCCGAAGGTATTTTAAGTGAACACCTAAGTAGGAAATAAAGAAAATTTTTGATATTTTCAGTAGGTAATTAAAATTAAACTGGTTGAGATGTTTTAGTCTTTCATTTACTTTTGTAATTGTAACACGTCGTTAAAAATAAATTGATAAGGGTATATAATTTCGTAAATATATTATAATGAATTTCCTTGTATGTAGACAAAGCTCATTATTTTCTGAAGATTACACTACAGTTCATGAAATAAATGATGACAAGTCAGCTTTTTTACTTTAAGAGGAAGAGTTTTCCTAGATATTACCCATAAATTTAGAATTTCTTTTTTAAAGTTTTTTTTTCAAATTTTCTTCTAAATGTTTGTGGATGCTTAAAATAAGGGCTACATATTAATTCACGGTACAGTACCATTTTTTCCAAATTATTAACACTCTTTCTGTGTGACTTCACGTTAAGGTAACTTACCGCTATTTTACCTGCGAAAACACTGGAAAATGGGTCATTTCCCACCTCGAAATCGAAAACATGTCAATTTACTGATGTTTAAAAGCCTACTTATCAACTCAATCGTTTACTTTTTACTTGAAAATCAAAAAATAAAGTTGACCTACAAAAATTTTTGGCAAAATCTGTCAAATTAAAGAGGGTATCAAGATTTATGAACAGTTCGTTGAATTTCACGAAATTTGTAAATTAATATTATCACAATCAAATGGTCATACTAGCCTATAATTTTCAAGTTTTCTATTTTCCAGAGTTTTCGCAACTAAAATAGTTTGAGGTTGCATTGAAGTCACTCACGGAGTATCAGACGACTGTTAATAAGCAATTTGGAAGAATCTACGCTATACGTACACATATTTATTTATATTATAAAAGTAATCAAAAGGAATAGAAAAAATATGATTAAAGTTATATTTAAATTTTTCGGCTACATAAATTTATACGTACAGTGTATGTTCATATATCATATTATGAAGGAGCTTTTAAACTGTCTATCCGTAGCATTACCTAAAACACTTTCAGAATTGCTAATCGAAATAAGGATGGTAGAAAACATATATTAGATATTTTCTAGTTTCCTTTTGCACAATTAATGCAAAATAATTAAAAAACCAGTACTAAAACGACGCTGAAATATAGAAATCTATAGAAATCGAAGCGTAGTCTTTCTAAGCCATAAATTTCTAAAATATTTCTTCTGAATCTTACATAATCATTTTAGTGCTTATCCCTAATTGTTATTTTCCAATTTCCATATGTACCATTTCATGTTACTGCTTAACGGTATAATATTTGATTTACTGCATCCTTGCGTAGTAGAATATTGAACCGTTGTAATTTACATACATTTTGATAGGTTATCTACGTGATGACCGTCGTGTTGACTCACTTTTACTACATTCGGTATTCAACTTTACTGCATTCATTATTGATTTTCTTATATTTATCTTTTAAACAAAATTTTCCCATCACTTTTTTACAACTCTTTTACAAATTCTATAACGTACTTAAATATCTTTCTGGTTAATTTTGGCTCTTTTTTAGTTTACAAATTAAATATTTAAAATTCGAAGAATCGTTAAAACAATCGAAAATTGCTTAAATGCAATTATTTTTATATAGGCATAGACTCAATAAATATGTAAGCAGAAGTATAACTTCTACCTCCTGTACATCATAATAAGTAT